AGATAAATATATTAGATTTTTGTCACGCCAAGTAATGTATAATTGAATACATTTTTTCTGGGTCAATTATACGAGATCGATGCACCGCGAAATATTCTTGACTTTGGTTAGGTTAGCAAGTCATTAGCTCTTGTATCACCGTCTCTTTCTCGCTTTCCCAATGGTTTCGTTTGTGCCTTCGTGTTCCCTTTCGGCTTTAGGTGGGCCACTTCGGAGAATCTGGAGACTTCCTGGTGATTCTTCAATGTTCCGTTTTACCTGTACTTTTGTGCCCCTTTGCAGGTTTAGGTGGATCACCTGGAAGCAGCCATTTTTGGTAAAATCATCATGAGCAGTTAATCGAAATCGAGCTTGCTGCAATTGTCGGTAGAAGGTGGTAAAATATGTAAAACGATGTTTATTAATTTTTTCGCGATGCGAACTGCGTCCACGGTAGCTTCATGGGGAAGATTGTTCCGTTTAAATTGACAGGTGGCAAGTGCATTAGCCATCTGCATCCTCGACCGGAGGTCACCCTACCCGTGAACAATCTCCCAACTCATCTCTCGTTTCGCCGCGGCATCCGGTCCCTTATCCATCGCGCCGGTCGCGAACGCCCCCTACCTGAACCGAGCCTGTCCGTGCGGGTACCGGAAGTCGGGACCCGAGGGGATCGACGGCGGACGTCATTTGGAAGCGAAACTTCCTTTTCCGTTTTCTCCTACGCCGCGTAGTTTTCGAGTTACGCCCCTCCAAAGAACCGACCAATCAAAGCGCAGCATTCTTATTTCCGCTGTATCGCCGGAATCACTGGTCGTAGAAAAAAACGGTAAAGGAAGTTTCGCCGTGGCGAACTTCCATGCGGCAGTTAACGGTGGTGACTTACCTACGCTTATCGACACTGCTTGCCTTTGATAGTAAGGGATAAACACTCCGGGCACTCTCTTTGACCTTACCCTTCGCGTACCTTATTTATTTTATTCGCAAATGTTATTACATACAGGCAAATACATGGCATAAGTTCAACGTGGGTGCTCGAGAGTTGAGTTATGCTTTATGTACAATTTTTTTAAGCCACGGAAATTAATGAAAAAATAATGAATGTTTTCTAGGGAACACGTAAAACCTACATAGAAGGAGATACCCAACGCATAGCTCCCGTAGTCGGTATAACGTCAGGTGTAACGTACGTGTCGCGAATTCAAATTCTGAAGGAAGGGCAGGGAGGTACGGTTTTTTACGCAAATTTCTTTCCTCGCGTTTTACGGTTCATAGCAATCGCACAAAATACATTTCAGGTATGTAATATTTCATTACGGGTAATCCACGAATAATCCACTCGTGATTGGACGACATCACCGGCCCGATAATGGATCGACCAATCACCGTCCTTTATCGGGCCGGTAACGTCGTCCAATCACGGAGTCGGTCACGGCCGGGGATTGCGGCCCGGCCGGCGGATCGTCAGTTGCCCAGCAATAACCTACCAACGAGTGAACGATGGGGAAGATTATTCAATTCTTAAAAGTTATAAGAAATAATTGGAAGAAGTCTGTAATTGGTACGGTTGCTTTCAGTTACGGGGTATCTTATGGGAATGGACGTTATGAGTAAGCGAATACAATTTTCTAAACGAAATTTATTTATCATATGGTACTCTATAAATTACCAACGTATTCATTACAACATGTTACGCATTAAATATTACTGTGTGAAATGATTTTTTTTTTTACACGGTGTTCTTGTCATAGAATCGAGCAACTACTAACCCAGTATTGCGAGGAAGCTATCCGGTTTGGAGATGATTCCTTGCCTTCGACAGCAAATCCTCGACACGTGACTGTAATTTTAAACCCGGCAGCGAATGGAAGGTTATAATAGCATGGTTTAAAGATGATTTAAGTGGCATATCAGTATAAATTTAGAATTCACTTTAGAGAAACTTCTCCATTAATTTGGATGAAAAAAAATGAATGATTACATATTTCCCAATTTATCATATCGTTTAAATTATTTCATATAATTGTTTATTTGTTATGACCCAGGAAAGCAAAGAAAGAATTTGAAAAGTATTGCGAGCCTTTATTACATCTCGCTGGAATAGCAGTAACCATACTACAAACTGAATCGGAAGGGCAAGCACGATCATTAATTGAGAATTTAAATACAAATACAGATGCAATTGTTGTAGCAGGAGGAGACGGGACGTTACTGGATGTTGTTACTGGTATATTCAGAAAGTATGAAGGTGACGTTTCATCTGTAAAACATTGTCCGATAGGAATTCTTCCTTTGGGTCGAAAGAACAGAACTGCCGATTCCCTGTTTCATGGGGACGATGATAATACCAAAGTCCAAGAAATGATAGAAGCTACTATGTCAATAATCAAAGGACACACTCAGTTAGTTGATGCTGTCGAAATTCAACCTCTTGAAGTAAGTCTTTCATTCTTTCTGTTATTTTACCTTTCTGCGTTAAGAGAAATTACAAAAAAATGTAAGGTGAGGATATTGCATTGCAGTCTGTCATTTGACACCAGAATACCATAATAGGTTTTTTTTTTATTTTAACCACCCCAGAAATGTAACGTTCTTTATTAGATAAAGTGCATTGATAATAATGAAAGTAACATTATCAGATTATTATTAGGAAGTAAAGCTTTTATAAGACCGTTGAAACACTGGTCATTAAACTTGATCAAATCTAATTACATGGGTTCTCTCATAGAAAATATAATTTTTGGATGATAATTGTCAAATTTAAATCGGTTACTATATATCACAGAAAGATCTTGATAATCCCATGAAGCCAATTTATGCTGTTGGAGCTGTAGAATGGGGAGTGTGGCAAGATGCTACGGCTCGTATCGATAAATATTGGTACTGGGGAATGCTGAGAAGGTGACTGAAAGGTGGTCTTCAAATTAAGCATTATAATAAATTAAGTGATCTTCAACCATTTCTATTTTCAGTTATGTAACGTACGTGTTCAGTGGATTTAAAGAAAACTTAAATTGGGACTGCTCTGGTACGCTGTGTTACACGGAGCCATGCAAAGGATGCTCGCGTTGTTACCCCGATCAATTCTCTCAAACAGGACGGTTAGGGAGAAGGTGGTGGCATGCGTTTTTAAAAAAACCGGAAACAAATACTGGTACATCTTTTATGTCAACGAACTCGATTGACAGTAGCAAATGTTATGACCAGTATTTTCTTTGCTTCGAGTAATGTCCGTGATTGTTGACTTTAAAGGTTCCCGATTGATTAATCTTTGTTCCAGATCCTGTGATAGACTACAGTAAGATAACGAATGAAAAATGCGGCATACTCCACGACTTACAGATATCTGCTTCAGAAGTGCATTTTTTTACAAGGACAACTACCCGTTCAAAGCAAACGGATACTCCGGCGATAAAAGTGGAAATTGGTAGACATTTATGCTTAATTACATATTTAATACAGTTGATCATATAATCCTTCAAAATCGTAGTGAACGATCATTTAAAGCTAATGCGTGCATTTTTATTTTAAACAAAAAAAGGGCCCAAAGACGTGAGTTATCTGTCTTTCGTTGTCGAAGGATGGAGAAGAATCAAGGGAAACAAAACCCTGATTAGTGATACCTTTATGGCAAAAGACATTGAACTTCATCCTAAGAAAGATCCAAAGTACCCCGTAAGTGTGAATTCTCGTGGAACTGGGTTTTTTCTTAAGCAATTTTTCGCATTAACCAGACTTTTTTGTACAGGATAAGGAACAGTCTTTCTACATTGATAACGAAGAATTCGATTTAAAACCGATTAAAATCCGACTGCTACCACAGTCTGTGAAACTGTTTTCTAATTAACCCATGAACCAATATAATAAGCAATCTAGATTTTAGTCGTGCATAAAACAAAAGTTTTATATCTACGTCTTATTTTGTATTCGTAGTTTAACGAAAAAGAAAAAATAATTTAACTTAAACGTTACCAATTCCCGTTATATCTCAAAGTTAACTATTTACTGGATCGCGTCTGAATTGGTAAGCCAGGTACGTAGGTTCCCAAATTTCACTTATTATATATAATACATTGACCGTCTTCTAGGATGAGATTGCACTGGTGTTTCCTGGACACAGATTTTTTTCGTTGTCCTTTTCAGAGATCCTGAAAAAATTAAGCAACGAAACGGATGGGCTCTTCGCAATTTTACGTGGTTCACTGGACCTGGATCTTGACCTCGTCATCCTTCGTACTGGGGTTACGTGTACTTTGGGACTCGTAGATTTTTCTACTATCGACCTGACGGATTTCTGCTCATACCTTTCCATCCTCATTTTTGTCAACCAGTCAATGTTCTCTTTACTCTTTCGAGGTGAAATTTCAAGTAAATGAGGTGCCGTGCCGTCTATGACGAAATTGGGCAAATTCGACGTGGGTGAATAAGACGTCTGCTCGGAAGTTAATACTCTTGATGAACTTGGAGTTTGACTGTCGGACTCGTAACTTCCAAATGACCCAACTTTGCCATCAGTGACTGCACTGAATAATCGTCGGGCTCCCCGGTTCTCCAAGGTAGGACGTTTAGTTTTCTGTTCTTGATTTTCTTTAATAGGAGACAAAACGGACTTGACTTTCCTACAATCATCTAACATCATCTGGGAGTAATTCCTTTTCGAGGAGCTACTTGTGTTATCGGACTTGGAGTTAAATGCCATCACTGAGCTGGACGTATTAGGTGTGCCACCTAAGATAAAAAATCGATTGTTAAACGAACAAAGAGTAGATATTTTACAGTGTATACAGTTACATAATTAAAAACAGCAATTGTTTTGATATTCTGTTACCAGGAGTTGTGTCGGTGTCTGGTGTATGCTCTTGATAAATCCTGCGATGAGACACCGTTGGGGTTGTTTCTAGACCTAGCTGTTGTGCAACTGCATCGTGCATCCATACAGCCTTTGCTGCACCTTGTATTTGGTCTTCTGAGTCATCGTCGGTTTTATATTCGGGCCCGATTCTCCAGATTATGTGACATGAATCGTCTGAACAAGTTACGATCTACAATAAAAAATTCCTGTTATAAAAATTCATTTTCGAGATATAATAATAATGCATTTTATGTTGTAATTGATTTCAATTCAACTTCTGTTTATCCAAATATGATCTTTATTGATCCGATTGCAAAAGAAAATGCGTTTCGGTACTACCGCTGATTGGAAATGTCACCTCACCTTGACATCTCCGACACTACACCAAGCGATACAAGTTACTTCTTCCGTGTGTCCATATAGTTTGACCATTGGTCCACCGGGTCGATCGGTACGCCAGATGTAGGCATGTTCATCGCTCGACCCACTCGCAAGGTAGCGACCGTCAGGACTTAGACACGTTTTTACATAAAATGTAGAATTTTTATGTCCATAGAACTCTGCCACTGCTCACGATAAAGCAGAAAACATCATGCCATATAACCGTATAGATATGCGTCTTTGTGTACGACTCTTTATTACTTATTCGTTCTTACCTGGTATCGAACTATACGATGCTATATTATATGCATACACAATGTTATCCATACAATTAGCATATAGAATAAGTCTTGCTGGACAAATCAGTAGCGATGTGAAACCATTCCTTGTACTTCCACCACAATAGCTTATAGTGTGTTTTGCTACAGGTTCTCTCTTATATGCTGTGTAATTCTTTCTGATATCCCATACTTTTATCAAACTATGAAAATGGAAAAAAACGATAAAGTCAGTCGCAACCATGCTAATTCAGGCCTACTAATCGGAACATAACTTTATATATACTGTTTCCAGCTAATTGATTGTAACAAAAGAGTATCTTACCCATCTCCAGCAGCACAAGATACAAGCGTAAAATCATCTTGAAATGCAAGGCCTGTAATACTTTGTGCTCGAGAAGATTGAGTTAGACCTCTGCGCTGCTTCAATCCTCTGGCTGATCTCACACTGTGTGCATTTGCGATAGTATTATCTGGTTTAGGTTGATTGTTATGATTAGCCCTGATGTCCCATATCATAATTGCACCGTCTCTAGCACCTGTCGCGAAGACGGCTTTATCTTCATAACGAAACACGGCTGTTTTCACGCTTCGTGTGTGGCCATGAAAATGACCTATCTCTGTTATCGCAGAACCGGTAACGTCCCATAACCTTGCCGTGTGATCTCCTGAAGCTGTGACTAGTTTTGATTCCCCTGGCATCCAAGTGATATCAAATATGGCGTTACAGTGTGCCTAAGGAGTTCGATTCAATTTTAGACATTACATCCCACTTTTTCACCCTATGAGCGCATTAGGAATTTATATAAATTTCAATGATAAGCTCAAAGTGACATACTTAAAATAATCACTTTTGTCAAACCATCGAAAAGAAATCAACAAAGTAAACAAGAGAATAAAATATGGATGAGAATAAAATCAATCTTGTACTTGAGTTCCTTTCAAAGGGCAATGCATCTGTCTGTTAACAGCGGTGTTTTGAAGTGCAACTTTTCCATCTTCATTGGCTAACGCAAGTATGTGTTCCTGACCAGGAACACTGGAAAATCTACACACGAAGATGGGTGGCTCAGGATTGTAATCAGGAGCATTAGTATTTGGTGAAATTCCACAGTAAATATCATCTCGGTAACACTTCAGTCGATATAGAGCAAAGTCGTAATCACCAAATGATTCTGAAACATATGGCAAATACCTAAAAAAACTGTAATATATCGTGATGTTTCTTTCAAAAAAGAAGCATATGCTATTTCTAGCATTCTTCATCATGACATACAATGTACTACAGCATACCGCAGAAACGTAAAACTCTCTATAGTGCTAAACTATGTTATGATAAAAAAAGGCCATACCTAATTCCTTTTTATACATAGCCCCGAATAATGATCTTTTATAAAAGAACTCATGTTAGAATCAATAACATTCATAAATAATCGAATATCGCTCGGTGAAATACACAGCATGGACAACAATTCGGGACAAAGGACTGTTTTGCCAACAGAAAATTTTGAGAAATAAGTACTCTTACTCACTCAAGCCTTCTTGACGCCTTAGAAGAGAACGTACGACGCTCATAGTGTACTGACACAAAACAGAGTCAACTTGTACCTTCAATAATATCACAATGTTAAACAATATTTATATTCATAGCATGGCATTACGCGGGAAATCGTTCATTCCTGTCATTTTTCCCGCAAACGACTATTGTTGCAGGCAGATTTTCATTAGGATTCGAAAGCATTGGAAAGCATAGATGTACACACATACACAAATCAGACAATATAGGCACCCCGAACCTTTGACCTATGGTGAACCTATGGACTGCTAGCAACCAACTGCACATCAGTTGCGATGATCCGTCATGCATTGCGGGGTAAGCCCCATGTGGAATCATTTGAAAGGGATTCTCAGAGTTGGGAGCAGAGATGAGTTGAATCCAACTCATCTCTGGTTGAATTCCTGAGTTAGACCGCCATTGGGTAAGTGCATCAGCCGCCCGCATTCTCCACCGAGGGCAACACAGAACTATCACAAGACCCTGCCCGTGAACAATCTCCCAACTCATCTCTGCTGTCCACTAGGTCTAGTATGTACCAGTCTAGTACGGCACACCATGCCGGGCGACCATTTTGTAATTAGCTCTTCGGCGTTTGATCGCGTCGCGTACTTGTTTTTGTGGTGCGAATAGTTCAAAAAGGAGTATTAGTTTCGAATATAGTTTTCGAAATCACAAAGCGTCACAGAGCAAGGTTTTGTCGACGATCATGGCTGAATATTTAGCCTCGATCTTCGGCACAGAAAAAGACAAGTAAGATGGTTTTCACGTAAACCATGACCTAACCTGTGGCAGTGCCGTTTTAACTACTTTTATCGCTTTTAGGGTGAATTGTTCCTTTTACTTCAAAATTGGAGCGTGTCGCCACGGGGATCGATGCTCACGTATTCACAATAAACCCACCTTCAGCCAGGTAAATATTTTTCAGTTTCACCTTTGGAGAAAGGAAAAACAGTGAGCAATGAGTATTTAATTTTCAGACTTGTTTGTTACAAAATCTCTACGTGAACCCCCAGAACTCAGCCAAGAGTGCAGATGGTTCTCATCGTAAGTAGACACAATTACTAGTTAACGTTGCATCGAGGTTTCTTAAAACAAATTCTTTATAAAACGTTAATACCTATCTTTCAGTTGTTGCTAATGTTTCCGACGAGGAGATGCAGGAGCATTACGACAACTTCTTTGAAGATGTATTTGTCGAATGTGAAGATAAATATGGGGAAATTGAGGAAATGAACGTATGCGACAATCTGGGTGACCATTTGGTAGGGAATGTTTACATCAAATTTCGCAGAGAAGAGGATGCTGAAAAAGCTGTCAAGGATTTAAATAATCGGTGGTTCGGAGGAAGGCCCGTGTATGCAGAATTATCACCAGTCACTGATTTTAGAGAAGCTTGTTGTCGGCAATATGAAATGGGGTATGCACTTGATTTTATATAAAAAGAAATGTAAAGTCTTAAACTGCTTTAACTTAAATCAGTGGTTTTAATTTTCAGAGAATGTACTCGCTCTGGGTTCTGCAATTTTATGCACTTGAAGCCTATTTCACGAGAGCTCCGTCGATATCTGTACAGCCGCAAAAAGGGTGGTAAAGGACGATCTAGGTCTCGATCCAGGTCACGTGGTCGAGACCGCAAGCGCAGATCTCGATCCAGGGAAAGAAGATCTCGCTCCAAGGATCGTCGCAAGGGCAGAGAAGATAAAGGCAGGGATGGTCGTTCTGGGAGATATTGAAACATGACTACGAGGATGATAATCCTTCAAATATTTTCATTACAACTCTTATTTCATGGTCTAGTAAATTACCGAATTGGATCGAGTGTGTAAGTTTTGAATAACATAAATGTAAAATTAATAAACATAGTATATATTGGATATTAAAGTTCATATTCGATAGGTATATCTGTATTCAAATACCGTAATAGTAAACAAAAAGCATAACGTTCACCATGAAAATCTACCACATATTCCATCGTGACGTTTTTCCATACATTGTAAAATCGTTTAGTTTTATTAGGAATCTTTGTTTTGAAGTTTTTGCATCTAAGTTGTAGTTTTGTAAGGACAGGATAATAAAATAATAAATACTTTCCACGATCGACATTAAAAGTAAGTGAAGCGACGATGGTATTTCGACTGAAGGAAAAATTAACACGACAGCAATGATGCTGACAGGTTAGGTTAGATTCATGCAAGTTAGTTGAATCTAACTGAACGTTGCAATGAACAATCCTTAACATTTCAACATCTCACGTTCTCGCGATTCGTGTAGTCGCTGTCTATCAGAGATGAGTTGGGAGATTGCTCACGGGCAGGATCGTGCGACCGCATTCTGTGCTGCCCTCTGCTTTCGTACGTTAGCTTTCACCGTGTTTTGCCCCCAAGGGCAGCGCAACGAATTTCTCATAGGAGCTCGCGCACTCGCGATGGCGGTACCATTTGCCAGTCGCCCCGTTGGCGGCTCACGTACTCGTGATGGTAATACCATACGACAGTTGACGGTGGTGGCTTACCTACACTTATCGACATTGCTCGCTCTTGATGGTAAGGGAAGAACACTCGTGACGCTCCATTTGACTTTATCTAGTTATCTACTACTATTAAGTACATTGTTGCCACGAAGTCGACGTTATGCGNAGTGCCGCAGAGTGCTGGAGAGTGCTGTAGAGTCCCGTAGTGTCCCGCAGAGTCCCGTAGAGTCCCAAAGAGTGCACATAGAGTGCCCGTAGTGTTCTGTAGAGTGCCGTGGAGTGCCGTAGAGTCACGTTCACGTGACTCCCGTGACTCCCGTGATGTCGCGTGACTCCCGTGTTGCGTTGAAGTCGCGTGAAGTCGCGTGAAGTCGTGTGAAGTCGCGTGAAGTCGTCGCATGTAGTCGTGTGAAGTAGCGTGAAGTCGCATGAAGTCGCGTTGAAGTCGCGTGAAGTCGTGTTGAAGTCACGTGAAGTTGCGTTGAAGTCGCGCGAAGTCGCGTTAAAGTCGCGCGAAGTCGCGTTGAAGTCGCGTGGTCGCGTGAAGTCGCGTGAAATCGTGTGAAGTCGTCGCGTGAAGTCGTGTGAAGTAGCGTGAAGTCGCGTGAAGTCGCGTGAAGTCGTGTGAAGTCGTCGTGTGAAGTCGCGTGAAGTCGTGTTGAAGTCACGCGAAGTTGCGTTGAAGTCGCGCGAAGTCGCGTTAAAGTCGCGTTGAAGTCGCGTTGAAGTCGCGTGAAGTCGCGTGAAGTCGCGTGAAATCGCGTGAAGTCGCGTGAAGTCGTGTGAAATCGCGTGAAGTCGCGTGAAGTCGTCGCGTGAAGTCGTGTGAAATCGCGTGAAGTTGCGTGAAGTCGTCGCGTGAAGTCGTGTGAAGTAGCGTGAAGTCGCGTGAAGTCGTCGCATGAAGTCGTGTGAAGTAGCGTGAAGTCGCGTGAAGTCGTGTTGAAGTCACGTGAAGTTGCGAGGAAGTCGCGCGAAGTCGCGCGAAGTCGCGTGAAGTCGCGTTGAAGTCGCGTTGAAGTCGCGTTGAAGTCGCGTGGTCGCGTGAAGTAGTGTGAAATCGTGTGAAGTCGCGTGAAGTCGTCGCGTGAAGTCGTATGAAGTCGTGTGAAGTCGTGTGAAGTAGCGTGAAGTCGCGTGGTCGTCGCGTGAAGTCGCGTTGAAGTCGCGTTGAAGGCGCGTGAAGTCGCGTGACTTCAACAGGCACTCTACGGGTCTCTACGGGAATCTACGGGACTCTACAGGACTCTACGGGACGCTAGAGCACTCTACGAGACTCTACGGGACGCTACAGCACTCTACGAGACTCTACGGGACTCTACGGGACTCTACGGGACTCTACGGGACTCTACGGGACTCTACGGGACTCTACGGGACACTACGGGACTCTACGGGACTCTACGGGACGCTACGGAACTCTACGGAACTCTACGGGACTCTACGGGACTCTACGGGACTCTACGGGACTCTACGGGACGCTACGGAACTCTACGGGACTCTACGGGACTATGCGGGACTATACGGGACTATACGGGACTCTACGGGACACTACGGGACACTACGGGACACTACGGGACTCTACGGGACTCTACGGGACTATACGGGACTCTACGGGACACTACGGGACACTACGGGACTCTACGGGACTCTACGGCACTCGATAACGCTCAAAAACACTCGAAAAATGGTCGATAACGGTCGAAAACGCTCCGAAACGGTCGAAGAACGCTCGATAACGCTAGTAGGTAAATGTAAAAATCATACGCGAAATAGCTCGGCTTATATCCGCGGCTAGGGAGGATTTTTCGCTGCATTCGGCTCTCACGCATACTCGTTATGAGTGTAGCGCCGAACGCACTCATGTTCAACGCCATGCCCCGTTGCTTGACGCTTGGCTGGTTGGGACGCGCGAAGATTTCTAGGAACGATCGCACTCGTACAGATTCGCTGCATGCGAGTTCCGTACGTGACATCCACGCGTGCCCCAAAGCTCCGTGTCACGTCGACTTCGGAGCAACAATGTATTTAGAGTAAAGAGGGCGCCACGAGTTTTCTTCCCTTACCATCAAAAGCGTGCAGTTCGGTAAGCGTAGGTAAGCCACCACCGTCAACTGCCGCATGGTTTTACCGTCACGGGTACGTGAGCCGCCAACTATGACTGTTAGATGGCACCGCCATCGCGAGTGCGCGATCCCCTACCAGTAATTCTTTGCGCCGCCCTTGGGGGGCAAAAAACAGTGAAAGCTGACGTACGAAACCAGAGGGCAGCACAGGATGCGATCGCACGATCCTGCCCGTGAGCAATCTCCCAACTCATCTCTGCTGCTAGGCGTCTAATAGTCTTAGTATATGGACGCTAGGTGGTAGCTGCTTGGCAATATGAAAACAAACCCGCGAAATGGGCACTCTTTATTATTTCCTGGTATATGGATCAGTACTCAAGCTGTTTGTGCTGTTTTGTGCTGTTTTGCGCACTCTTGCAATTTGACCGTTTTTGCAACTTCAACTTTTAAAAGCCGTTAAGTTTCAAATTATTTAAACATCGATTCCCAATTAAACACTTCGAACTCATGCAACAAAAAATAATTCTAATAATTATGACAAATGAATAATCCGGTAAGTTGCGATATCAACTAGATACATATTCTTCGTGTTTGTTTGTACATAATGTTTATAAAATCCTATATGTCAGAAGAATGTGTGTACGTATATGCAAATTAGTGTAATGTGTCATGTTTATATTGTAAAATACGTTTATATTGACTACCTAATGTCTTCGTTGGATGAATGTTTTAATTTTTTATGTGATCTTACCTTAATTTTTATTACAACAGTGATCCTTGTAAACTCGCATGCGTCTCTATCAGCACGATGGTAGAAGAGGTCATTAGTCCCTTTAATAAACCAAAGGTATGGAATTAATCCATCAAGTATTTGTTTATAATCTTGTAATCATTCATTGAAGTTGTCCCATTAACTAATGAGTCAAAAAATTGTTATTATCTGTAATGTTCTTTTTTAGAGTAAAACAGCGAGGCCTAGACCAGTTTATTTGTGGAATGTACTCGATGTTCAGAAATGGCTGCGCCGACATTGCAGTGACTATTATCAATTATATCATGAGAAATTTTTATATGCAAGTATCTGCTTTTAAATTAATGTAAGGTATTTCATTAAAAGAATGATTGGAAATTTATGTAAGAATTACGTTTCAGCACGATATTACTGGAAGAGCACTTCTAAGAATAAATGAGAACATCCTTTTAAGACTCGGAATTGATAACGAAGAGCATCGAATGGATATATGGAGAGAAATTATGAAGTTACACTTGAAAACTGATATTTTAGAAATTAGAGATATCGAACGACGTAACAATACCAACTACGAATGATACAATATGGAATATCTCATTTTTGTATATTACCAAGTCATGGTTTAATTGCTTTTCCAAGCATTTTCAATTCATAACATGATACTACTACTAAGATAACAGATAATGCAATAATTTTATAAATTAATTTTTTAGACAGTAGTATAACGGTTAGATTACCCAAATGAATCACTTGTACAATAAAATGAAATAAATAAGCTTTTAATGTAAATACCACAGTATTAAATGAATTTGAATCACATGTTTTGTTTATTAAGTCAGTGTATTACATGGATCACAGAATTGTCGTATAGTAAATAAATTACTAAGGACATGGTTCAAAAGTGTGTAGGTCGCTACTTCACTGGTAATCAAATTCATTTCTTAATTCGTTTGTCCTTCAACTTATAGTTTATTACATTGTGTTTATCAGCCATTGCAGGTTTATAAATGCAAATGCTGAATATACTTGAATCTTACTTTAAAATTCAGAATTTCCTGTAAGTCAATTTATGTAATTTCGTACAGAATATTTTTGTTTCTAAATTTCAGTTTCTTTTATTACCATCATTTTTCGTAACTTCCCCATTCAGGTATTTATATTCATAGCGTTAGAGTATTTCTCTTTTTAATGTACTTAAAGCTTAAACAATGGACACTGTAGACCTCGACACTTGTACAGATATTGCACGCGTGTATTTATAAATTCGATAAAAGATTATCGATGCGATCATTTTTTCTAAGATACTTCATTTTTTTATTCAATCCTAATTTACATGTGCGCAGGATGTATTTAAGGATTGCATGCTCACATCTTTATCGAAAGTAATTTATCTTATATGTAAAATCCCATGCAACGAGGAAAGTATCATGTGTGCAATGTCGAAACATATTCTTTTGTCGTTTGGGCATTTCTATCGTGTTTTCACTAAACTAAAATGAAACTGTGAAACGATAGAACCAGTCTTTGTCTTGCAGTTCGTCAACCTATGGCATACATCGATTGAAGTGCTAAAAACACTTTTAACAAATATCTTCGGTTAAATAGCAATGGTCAGCTTCAAAAGCAAAATCCTGCATATTTGTTCATCTTTGGGCAACTCGAGTAGAGTTCGATTAAATACGTACAGTCGTATTAATAATTACAATCAACAAACGCGGCTTTGAGACACCCAAAGATGCCAAGAGTAAGGTCACTCCATAACGTTGACCACTTTTCGAGATTTCACTAATTTAATTTAAATTAATAACAAATTACAGAAATACATCCAGCTGAGAAACGTGTCAGCGTGATCGGACATGGACCTCAGCTACAATTTCTCATACAGCTATTATATACAACAATAAACGCCTCTCTTTTCCCAATAATGACTAGAACGAAAAACGTATCAATAAAGTTCACTTAACGTTAATCCTAGCGAACGTGCGATATACGAGCAGAATACGCGATTGTTTAAACTCCTCCAACTAAAAACAACATATTCGATCACTTTAGTGGAAGACAATGAGTAATCCACCGTGTACTACGAGCTTGTTACAGTTCCGATATTTTGCCAATGCAAATCATTGTCTTTTGTTAACACATCATAGTCATAATCCTTAAGCACAGAAACCACACAACCTCCGAAAAATTCCGAACGTAATGATCCACATACACTGTAAAAATGTTATGCATTGCGTTTCACCGACTACCGTAAACATAATCATACATTAATATTCTTACAGTGTGCAGGAACTTTATATGCTTTTATGCATGGGAGTGACACCATTCGCTCGGTCGACCATCTGATGCATATCCATATAAATGGGTTTTTCGAGGACCCAAAAGGAAGGCACAGGCGCCGAGGAGGATGTACATTTCCCAGGATCCTCATCTGAATAAATCAAGGATTTTCAGTTCAATTTGAATATCAGGATTTCGGATGTACACAATAAACGTTGGACGTACTAAAGACACAGTTCCTGTTCGGGTAGATCTCTCGTATGTTTATGTCTACCCGTGGAAAATACGTATAATTCGGCAGCTCTTTTCGAGACTTTAGTCGTGGAGCACTGTTTACTGTGTCCATTTCGTATACAACAGCCTGTTGTATTTACAGGGCGAAGTGCAACGTCGTTGTCGTTCAAAGGTGCCCTCGAAGTACCCCTTACGGACAAGCCTCTGTAGAAGGAAGCCGTTGCAGGCCAACCACCGGATGCAGGTCTTCGCCAATCGTATCTGAAAGGGTAAAATAGTCAATTTTCCTCAGTGCACATTCTTTTTTGAGTAGTGCTAACATAAAGAATTCAAAAGCCTCCATAGAAGCCCAGAAGGATACGGACGTTTGATGCTCGATAAATAGTACGTTAGGCAATGGATGGCGGCGCTGTAATCATCTCTCCGTCTCTCATAACCTTACGGCGATATATAGCGGATTGCATTCTTTCTTTATCTTACACAGTACTCGCCTTTCTATATGCATCTCTCTTCCTCCCGTATATCAAATACCGTTGGCTAACACATGCGATCTCTTTTCTACCCCCACTCCTGGTTTGTTATCCAACTTTTAGAGCATCAAGCGTTGACAGAATCCGGGCTTCTATGGAACTTCTGAATTCTTTGTCTAACGGCTACTTTTAACAATTAACATAACCATGCCTTATGAAAAATGATTATAGCAAGTGTTGTTCCAGGTAGCACAGCGACGTCTACATAAAGTGAAAATCTCGTTATATCCACTTATTATAACGTCCAGATGACGTAAAACTGATGACATTATGCCACAGACCAAAGATGTCAAAATTAATCATCAAGAGCGACTGAAGATATTCAATTATTATCGGCTGCGCCTGAAAACTTCACCCATGTCCTGAAAATCCTTTTTTTTTTTTCGTTGATGTAGAGTATACTATTTCTTAGCTTAATTTCGAGTACACGAAAATTGAATAGTCAAATATAGAGTTAAAAAGAGGCTTGAAATTGATATCATGTTTCAGACGTTTCATTGGCCTCATATGTAACGTCATTACGGTGTTATAACGTGGTCATATGACGTTACAGGCTGGTAATGACCAAAAGATGACGTCATTACGACACTGGGCTACCTGGGGTGTAAGAAGAACTCGAAGATGTACCTGATGGATGCTCTGGTGCTCATGGTCCTGTCCAAATCCAGACTGTCCGTTGGTGGACTTGCCGACCATTTCCGCGACCTGAATGGACATCTCTGCTGGAATTCCCTTTTGAACTTTTCCTGCAATCCGGGGAAGCATTCAAAGATCCTCCATAAAGCGTCCGGGTGTATCGGAGTGTCTCATGTTTAAATTACAGGAGTGAAGAGATCAAAGCGCAGTAAAATGGCGTTATCACTTTAACATTGTAGATACAGATGGAAAATTTATGGGGTCGCGATGGAGTTGTCGGGAGATCAATGGGTGTAGACAGAGGTGGGTGTAAAACCCAGAAGAAATGAGCCCTGTAACCTCTGCACCTCGTTAAACAAACTCGAAGTGACGGAGATAAAGTGCCCATAATGTTCCTGACTTCTTTTTTTTATCAACAGTACCTGCAACCTCTCGGAAGGAGTACTTCTACGAAGTTATCGGTGCCATTATCGGTATTTTATAAAGCCCTCACCCAGATTCCTGGGGACATGCTCGAAGCTGTACTCCTTCGTTCTTGTCGTTTTTTTCGACCCATATATAATCCTACTCTAGGTGAATCTCGTCGATAATTAACCACAGTTTGTCACTTACGTTGTAAATGCCGTATATAAAAGGATTGTAGCAGCTGTTAGACATGGCTAGCCAATCGCAGCAGAACCAGATAATGTTGATGTAACGATACCTAAAAGTAGAATTGCGTTACAGATGCACACCAAAAAACATATGCACGAAATGATAAGAATTCGAATTTGTATGAATAATTAGGGACAACTTAACCACCGTTACAAATGTTGTACTGGTCCCATTGTTCAAATCGAGTTTGCAAACAGCGCAATGCTTTATACTCTATATACATTGGTTCAACATTTATCCGTCCGTGTCTAATGTAAATTCGTTCTCAAAGTGAACACTAGTTCCCGGTGCCTTTTCGACATCCCCGTTTCATCTGGCATTAAAGTCACCCTAAGTACGCATCCTAATTACATTAATTAGTCCCCGAGGCTTCCAAAGGAATCCCTATCACTCGAGGCTTCATAAAAACGATGCCAGATGAAAGGGATTCCGAAAATGCGCAACGACCTTGTAATCAGTAACGTAAAACAAGTAGCTCGGAATTAATCCGCAGTACTTACTCGTTAATTTCAGGATACGTGTACTGGAGGACGTTGTACGTCTGAAGGGGCAACCAGCAAATGGCGAATAATGCCACTACGATGACGAGCATTTTTATAACCTGCACAGAAAAAGGTTTTCAAATGGACGAGTCAGGGACGACGCCATCGACGTTCCCTCAATTCAAGGAGCCCTTCCGCGTGCATTCTACCTTCCTGAAAGGGCGACATACTTTTATTCGGTTCCCGAGCAGTGGTTTCCTCTAGTGGGAGGGAATCCGATATCCGATTTTCACGGTAAAAATTAAAGGAGAAATAGGAACGGCCATTGAGCCGCCATCAGTGCCCATGGGGAATCCCAAGTACGCCTCGAGCGATCTTTCCACCCATAAATATTAGAATTTTAAATCTCCCAAGGGCTACATTCATTTAAAACTTGCACGTAGGGTGTAAGATACCCTAGTAGAATTACTATATATGTCTTGCCAGATTGTAAAATTCTGCGATTTGTAAAACGATCTAGATGATACTATTAGACTCAAGATTTCATTCTTCAAGACTTTTAAACTTCAATTTTTAATAAAAATTTGACGATTAGAACATTATAAGATGGTCATAGGGAAGGACGCTTTTTCTAAAATTACCGAAATTATTTAGCCGTAATGTAAAATTAAAGTAAAAAATGTAATTTCATGAATTTAACGAGGCGACGGTATGTTGGCAGTCGTTTTATAAAACTCCTAGTCGCTTTATAACATGACCAGTCGGATTGTTAAATAATGCTGAGTGAACGAAGACTTAACAACCTGACCGCATTTTCTTTTTCTTTTGTAAATGCCGTTTTGCAAAAAGTCAGATTTCACAATCTGGCTACGACACACACAAGTCACCCGTAAGCGTGTTTTTTTAGAATTCTCATGAGTCGTGAAAGTGGCGGATTATCCGACAGATTTTACGCAGGGTGCATGCCGAAAGTTGGGGTGAGCTTTTCCGCCCTAGGGTGTCTACCTTCTTTTTATTCTTCATCAGATTGGCATCCCTGGAGTCCTGGGCGTTTCCGGGTGCTCGACTACCCCAAAGTCTCAGGGCCATCCGTGCGTACACGCAGGATATGACCGAAAGGGGTGTGAGATACTGGAGGAATCCCAGAAGGGCGCGGTACGTCAGCATCGACCTTTCCGACATGTTCTCGTTGCGGCAGAAAGGTTTCATGTGCAGGCGGCCTGTAAATAAATAATGGTCTAAAACATGAGACCCACGATAGTTAAACTTATTAACACATTCGCGACCGGGAAATTTTTTCCGTTTCAAATACTGAGTACCGGCGAAAATAATGAAATTCTGAAACTGGTTGCCACAAACTTGCATCGTGTATCGTTATGGACGTGATTCACGTCAGCGGCAATTAGGAATAGAATTTAAAAAGACGTGAAATCACGTCAGCGAATGTTTTAAGAAACTTGGTAGAGTTTCGCGCCAAATATATATAGGCGCAAAACCATGACCTAGTCATTAACTGCGATGTTTAGCCTGGCGCGTCAAACTGGACAATGAATGTCATTTTCTAAACCTCTTCAATGAGTAATGTCAACGTTAACCAGGTCATCGGGATTGGACTATTCTTTTGCGTTTTTTAACCTACGAACGAAACCGATTGATACATTTGATACCGAGATATGCAATTTTTAATATTTCACTTCGCTTGGGTTGTTTGACATTTTTCCCTCGATACGTGTATAGATCCCTTATGTCTCCAATTTGTGGATATTGTTTTTTTCGAGCTTAACGTGTGATACACACTACCTGATTATTTGGTAGAATTCGGTGCCTCATAAATGCATGAAAGTGAGACTGGGCAAAAAGTGGAAACCACCGCTAGAAATCGCTGTCGTGATTTATTCACGTTCCTCTTCCAACGTTCAGTTATATGTTCCCCGGGTCGTTAACAAGACAGTTATAACGCCACTGATACCAGTATTGTGAAGTGGCAATAAAACGAGCCGTTGAATGTCGAGACTCGTAAGTGAATAAAGTGCGGTTACGGATGTACGCACATATATGGTCATACGTGATATAGTATTTGTTTCATGCCATTCGGTTCGACCGGTATGAGACGGCAGGCATTTGCAATCATGGATTTAAAAATGATTTTCCCGCCAAGACGGTTCACGGGTTATTACGACAATTTTTAAGAAAAATAGCGTATCTTAATCTGTACTCTATTAATTTAACAAGAGGCGGCAAAATGTACTTGTCGCGAAACTCCACCGATTTTATAAACACATTGTCGTTGTTTTAAGGTGACGTTAAAGTGGCCTCAAAGAGGTCTCCTTGGTGAGACTTTTCTCCGACATGATTAATAAACTTAACAACGTGAATATGGAGGTCGTAAGGAAGGTACATAATCCACGAATTCCAATTATTATTAAATTGTTTATAGATGCTTTTAAAATTCTTATAAGAAATTAAATTTCATTACGGTCAGGACCTTTCTTATAGTTTCTATATTCACGATGTAAAGTTTGAAAGGATTGAGCATATCCTGTTTGGAGAAAAGTTTCATGAACGATTGACCCCTCATATGCTAATTTCCACTTCGCCTTAAGACTAGATTCAATTTCAACGCAAAGGATTTTGAATTTCTGTTCGATGAGTCGCGTTTTGGGTAAACGGGGGACAAGAGTAATTACTAACCCTCACTTGCGTCCTGAGTATATAATTTTCCGAAAAGATGTGGGCTTAGGGATAATTTTCCGCCTGAGGAGAGGAATTCCGCTTTGAAGATCGGAATAATGCATTGAAATGAGTCAATCGAGGCGAAAGGCTCTTAATCGTGATTGCATCCGATGGAGCGAATGACCCGTGGATTAATGAAACGTCGGCCTTGGACTACGAGAATACTCTAAGTTTCGGGTATTGTTTAAAATAGCGCAGGTCTTTGACTCCAAGATGGCCGCCCTTCTGGCGTGCCCGAGGGAAGCGTTCCCGACTTGCCGATAATTATCCACCGACTGACAAACACCCTTCATCGTGGTCCTTGGGTCTGTTTTCGCAATTTCGGGGAGTCGTTAGGCGTCTTCGTGACAACAATGGAGCCGGTGACACTGGACAAACAACGCTGGAGAGCCAGGGAAGGGATATTAACAAAATAGAAAGAAATGGCCGGCTAATGGAAAAGACTGCACAAATATTTTCAACCCGTATTCGAGGTTTGTGAATTATTCAGAGGGGAATTTCGGGACTTCTTCCAGGGAAATCACACGTACCAAATTCAAGGGGAAAAGTGTGGAAGAGCGGGTTGATCTGATTTTCAAATTTTCTGGAAGAGGATGAAACGGTTTAAGACTCGAGGGTTGCTTTAATGTCCTGAAAGGATCAAAGGACTCGAAGAATGGCTTGAATCCGTTACGTTCCGACGGCAACTTGGGGAAACGAAACGGAATAACAATGCCTTTTGGGATATTTGTTAAAGCGGAATCTTCGAGGGATTGGTGGGGAATTTTGGAGGATCTTCCGAGGGGAGAAATGATATAGAGGGAACCACGCGAATGCACGTCATCTGTGAAAACATTCCCCAATATCCGGGGATGAGAGAGGATCTTGAATCCAATGTGCGCAGGATTTGCATACTGGTTCCTAGGCAAGGATTACGCAGGAGAGATGTAAATGAAGTCAAAGTCTAGCGAATTGACGCACTGTGCCGGAGATTTACATCATTGAGGTGTACCACTTGTAGGAACTTATAGAAACGCCGCCATTGATAATACAAATATGCACGAATTTTTAGTATCACGATATAGCTATTTTATAAGAAATTTTCAAAGTAACTTCATTAATATATATTTGCCAAATGTAAATTGAATCCGACTGGATCTCTTTCCGTGCATTTCCTTGGAGCAATTATTTGACACCCCTCTAATGGGAGTGGAAAGTACAATTGTTTCTCTAATGACTAACTATACTCAACTTACTCCTAACAAAAAGAAGCGCACGACCATTTACGCAATGTCGAGGTGAAGTTTCTTTCGCTTTCAATCCCGACTAGAGAAGTAAATAATTATGTACTATCTGAAATATGATTTAAAGGGACCTATGACAATTTACCCTCGGTGACAGCGTCCCTTGATATCAGAGATCCAGGAGCAGGGGAACCCAAACTGAAAGTCAACACGCAGAATTTGCATCTAGGAGTCCAGAGAAGGATCAAGTTGAGACAATGCAAATGGCGTTGGAGTTTGTCGAGGTAAACTGTTTGTTGAGTCTCGGCACACTCCAACTGTCGCGGGACTTTGTCAAGAGTTCCAAATGCGCGCTTGCAAAGACAAACTACAGGTGATATAAAATCATTCCTTTTCACGCCCAAGTACTATCTCATTAGTTTACCAAATAAGATGTCTTCCCGTTGAAAAGGGATTTATTTAACAACCCTGATCTTTTCTTCACTGTCCAGGACGAGAAATTTCAAACTACAGGTAAAATGTAATCATTCGTTTCCACATCCAAGTATTATCTCATGAGTTTACCAAACAGGATGTCCTCCCGTTGAAAAGGGATTTATTTAACATTCCTGATCCTTTCTTCGCTGTCTAGCTCGAGAAATTCTAAACTACAAGTGAAACGTAATCAATCGTTTCCACATCCAAGTTTTATCTCATGAGTTTACCAAACAGGATGTCCTCCCGTTGAAAAGGGATTTATTTAACATTCTTAATCCTTTCTTCGCTGTCCAGCTCGAGAAATTCCAGATTACAGGTAAAATGTAATCATTCGTTTCCACATCCAAGTATTATGTCATGAGTTTACCAAACAGGATGTCCTCCCGTTGAAAAGGGATTTATTTAACAACCCTGATCTTTTCTTCACTGTCCAGGACGAGAAATTTCAAACTACAGGTAACATGTAATCATTCGTTTCCACATCCAAGTATTATCTCATGAGTTTACCAAACAGGATGTCCTCCCGTTGAAAAGGGATTTATTTAGCATTCTTGATCCTTTCTTCGCTGTCCAGCTCGAAAAATTCCAAACTACAGGTGAAACGTAATCATTCGTCTCCACCTCCAAGTATTATCTCATGAGTTTACCAAACAGGATGTCCTCCCGTTGAAAAGGGATTTATTTAACATTCCTGATCCTTTCTTCGCTGTCTAGCTCGAGAAATTCTAAACTACAAGTGAAACGTAATCAATCGTTTCCACATCCAAGTTTTATCTCATGAGTTTACCAAACAGGATGTCCTCCCGTTGAAAAGGGATTTATTTAACATTCCTGAACCTTTCTTCACTGTCCAGGTCGAGAAATACGACGTAAAGGAAGGAATAGGTCGTCCTCGAGTCGGGGGCCATTAAAAAGCTTTCTGGTCAAGGGGCATCGATCAGGAAGGAACGCTTCCAGATTGTGAAGGATTCAAAGGAGCTTTTAGATCCACATTGCCGGAACTTCGAGAGGTTTGTTTATGTTTACATGCTTATGTAGATGACTCACCGCCTGCGCTTTCTGGAACCATGACGACCCTAAGAGCGGCTGCCATTGGAGTTGCCAAAGCTCCACCAAGAATCCAAATCCCAGCGATGACGATCTTCGCTCGCAGCTTGCTTGGCCGAGCACTGCGAACCGGGAAAGCTTATTGTTTTGCGACACAACAGTGAGATCCGCTTAGGGCTCTAAGTATATGAGATACGTTTAATTCTGACGACGAAGACAAGTTCCTTCAGTTCAAGCTGTTGTTCGCTAGAACCCGATAAACAGAAGTGCGATACATTTAGCGCGAATAGTGTACCTATTTAGGGAAGCCGTCAGAATTTATTCCTGTGTTTAGAACAGAATATCAGCTAAGAAATGTAATTAATATGACAATAAATCATTTTCTTTTCTGTGAGGAAATATCACTTCGCCGTTGGGTGATGGTATTTCCGAGGACGAAAATTGTAAATTGAATGTGTGGAGCGACTTTGATCAGCATCGGAAATGGAAATCGAAGTTTACTTGATATCAGCTAAGAAATGTAATTAATATGACAATAAATCATTTTCTTTTCCATGAGGAAATATCACTTCGCCGTTGGGTGATGGTATTTCCGAGGACGAAAATTGTAAATTGAATGTGTGGAGCGACTTTGATCAGCATCGGAAATGGAAATCGAAGTTTACTCGAGGAAGGAAAAGAGGATTTTAGGTCGAGAGACTTTACGATTCCTGCATCCTGTGTACTTTTTCGCTTCCAAAACCCGGGATGTGTTAACGCGAGATAAATCAAGATCCAGCCTAATTTCGTTCGATCTCTGGCGTGGTAAAAATGCTGACGAGGTTCGCTTGACACGCGATGGCGGATGGTAAAAAATCGCCCAGAGGCAATTCGTGTCTCCTTGACAGGGTATTGGCAGGGGGACATGGAAATAATTAACTTGAAGGTGACGGTGATCCTATCGCCCAGTGAGGATTCCGGCCAGTAAAAAATGGAAATCGGTTTTACGTCGATTGGAAACGTCAAGTGGCGGGAACGGCGACCTGCGGGGTCAGTGCACAGCTTTGCTGCAAGTCTATCCGAACATTGTATGTCGAGGACTGTAATAAGCTCATTGTAGTGGTTGGGGTCAAATTGGGTTGCATGTGCATTGCAGCCTTTAACATGCCTATATCCAGATTTCTAATTAGGGCCGCGAAATGGCGCCTGACTTTGTCATCCCGATTCAAAGGACCGCGTCAAAAAGGCATAATTGCGATAGGCTTGTACTCCTCCTGTTTGCTCGTAATTAGCACACGACCGACTGTTAGCCGGGGAATAATTGAAGAAACAAAACTTCGCCTGCTACGAGCAGGCTAGCCCTTTTTTTTTATTCGCTTTCCTGCTTTACGATCAAGGCTTGGCCTCTGGCATGGAGCCTCGATGGCTTTATTTGAAGAGTAGTAAATGTCTCGCTGCTGGTCAGCGGAGGTATTTCAGGAGAACCAGCACAAACAAACACAATCTACGAGCATATCGAGGACAAAGTATCCATCTCGGCTCGTTCGGAAAGACTCGCTCGATCGAGTGTTCTCTCTTTCGTCTTCGCTCTCACATTTCCAGGGTTTTATTTTTCTACAAATTAAGCATGTCTCAATGGACGATCCGCTTTATTGCAAACAAGACGTTTCTATGCCTGACCGCAATTCATCATCCACGACTGAAAACCACCCTGGAAATTTATACAGAGAAGATTCGAACGACGCAAGACAAATATGGCGGCATCCCTCTTCTAGCCCTTTATCAATGTGCCTTATGGCTTTTTCAGCTAGTCACCCTCAGCACCACTAGCATAGAGTATTACCACTATATATGTTCCACTGATCAATGCAGAACACATGTCATTATATCGCGTTCTGCGTGACAATATTAGGTCGATGGTGTGTTAGTATACCCCAGATTCGATACACTTTTATCACCATCGCAGAGAGCAAGTACGACAAAAATCCAATATGGCGGCGCCCGTGAACGAGCAATGCGATTATTCGCTGGCAATCTTTAATTTTTCACCCTTCAACTGACGATCAAAACACCGAGTTAAAGATGCGATAAATAACGAAAAACAGTCACGTCACTGTTTCCAAATTTCAAGGCGTCGATTTTCTTAATTTTGGCAAATGTTTTTAAAAGTTTGCATGTGGACGCGTACGGTAGAACAGAGTAACGATATACATGAAAAGCGTGTCCACTTGTACTGTATTCCTGTAACCCTGGTGCAAGTAAGCGCAGATCAGCTAAAAAACGTGTTAGAGATACCCAACTCTAAGCGCTCGTTAGAAATGATAATGATATCTTCAGATCTTCTGCAATGAGATACAGTAAACCGCCGTGGGATGAATATCCCGGTGTGTTCGCTTGAAACTGTTGTCACTTGTCGGCTGTCATCTTACTTCGGAATTCCAATTTCACTCGTTAGACTTTTCTTAGCTCCGAGGCCGAGATCGCTGTCTTTCTTCGCGAAACGGCAATATCTCATCTCCGGCTTCCCTTTCTGTGCTCTAATATCGCTCGACGCTTTGTGTGTGACGGCTGTGTGGTAGGGTGTAAATTCGCTTTCCAGTCGGATATCGGTTCGTATACCCGGACCTACTGACCTCAGGGGCTTAAGTATTGCTCGGTGCCTGTCGACTGCAATTGCCGTCAACGTGAATACTGACACGTTGACACAGAGCACCTGCACAAACGGACAGAATGCGCACATGAAGTGCGGTAAGTTCCATCGCTGGAGCAGTGCGGCTTGGAACTGTAACAAGAGAGGTGCCAATTTTTTTACGTTCTCCACTCTGCAACCAAGTGGATTAGTAGTACCGCTTATCGACCCTCTGTAACCCAATTTTGGTTGGTGATATGAGCAAATATTGACATCCTGATATTAAAGCGGCGTGAAAGCGGCATCTGATAGGCCAATCGTTTATGAAACTTTCTTTTCCTAACTAGATGTATCTTGATATTTAATTTCTTAGAAATTTATCCAGGTGAATATGGAGGCCCTAAGGAAGGAAGATTGATACCCATAACATTTTATTCTTTTAATTTCAAAGATATTATGCAATTTTTTATATATAAAGGATTTGAAGAAATGAAATTTCATGAGTACCAGCACCTTCTTTAGGGCTTCCACATTCATGAGGTAAAATTGCAAATGATTCGATACACCCGACTCGGAGAAAAGTTTCATAAACGAGACTCCTAGGACGCCTGTTTAACCCCGCCTTAACTATTCCATTAGAACTGTATAATTTAGATAAATTTCTATCGATCAAAATTTGTATGAACTCACAATTCATGAACCAAATTCTTGGCAACAGAGAAGTGGTACAATAAGGTGGTATTTTATGTATTCCTTGAAAAATCGAATAGGACTTAAAAAACCTCAATATATGGATATGTGACATAAATCGCGTTATAGAGGGTTAATATGTAAATATATACGTATGCCACTTTTTGCACATTTAGACTCACCTGAAACGGAATGGCGAAAAGACCTATGACAATGTCGGTCAATGCAAGGTTCGCGATGAAGCAGTTGGTGACACTTTGCATCCGTCTTGATGTCGCGACTATCCACATCACTAAAGAATTTCCCACGACTGCCAGTACTGATATGCTGCCATAACATACACTGAGAAGTGCTATCAGCCCGGCCGGTACGTCGTAAAGATCGTCTATGAAATGAAAGGACACCTCGTTACCGATTCATAATTAATAGCTAATTAGAAAATCGAAATTTGTTCGATGTAGGGTTGGAGTCCCGTCTAATTTTATATTTCTACAGGATACGGATTTTCTCGAGGAACTTCTTCGGAGGACTTTTCAGGAATACGTTTGCTTCTATTTCCATTCGGCGTCTCCTTATCATACGTGATTATGCAAGCCCGACGATGGACGCAGTATTAATATCGAGCGTTGCAATTGCATGAGATTATCTATTAATATGCATCGATACATGTATATTCATTTGATGTTGTTTACATTTTAAGCGTTGCTGTGTCTATAGAATTTTTATTGACAATTAATTTGCAAAACAGATTTCCTTTAGGTTTCAACTGTTTTGTTGGTAAACAATGTTTACTGGCGGATAAAAAAATCAATTTTTTCGATGTTTAAAATAAAACCATCCTTCTGAGTCATTGGAATTGATCGAAATGGTTGGGTTAGTGAAAATCGAAATCGAGGGAAAACAAGGGAACTGAGAGCAGAACTGAGCAAATAAAATCACATGAGTTCACCTACAGTTTATGGAATTGCTGCACTTTTTCGTTGGTAAACCCCCGGGGGAGGAAATGGTTTTTGTTTCCGATCAATTGCGTTTCGATACGAGAAAAATTGGACGATGAGTTTTATCTCGTTTAGTTGCAAAAGTCGCAATTTTAGCGAATAAGCGTCTGCTTCGCGTCGACACGTGATTATTTCGTAGAATTTCCATGAGTCGTTCACCTTTATTTCATGGAGATTACTTTTGAGAAGGTAATTTGAGGATAAATCATCGGAAGTTTGTGCAAGTGCTTAATTGGCAGTGACAAACTGCAATTAGTTAAGGATCTCCTGTGGAGCTTATTCATCACTGGCTTTAATGGACTTTTCTGAACAGGAAAAAAGTTATCTCCCCTCTAAAAGTTGGAAATCGGAAAAGAGAAAAAAGGACCGCGGAACTAAACCAATAAAATCAATTGCATTTATCTAGAATCCACGGACTTCCCGTCTGCTCTTCATCAGTGGTGGATTTCCGGGCAAATAATGGATATTGCACACCCGATTGTGTTGTGGAGTGAGGCGTACCGAAATGGCAAATATTTTTCTTCCGTTCTTTTCCAATGTCACAATAATACTCGTGAAAAATACCCTTTCTACGTTAACATGTTCTTTACTTCACTTTAAAAAATGGCGGTACTGCCGAAGAATCTGCAACCATTTTTGGCCCTCGATCGAAACAAATGACTTTTGAGATGATCTGGCACTAAATTCTCAGCTCTTCGCGAGAATTTCTAATTGGCAATGACAAATTGCATATCGTTTCGAGTTCCCCGTGAAACTCATTCATCACAGATTAATGGATTTTTTCCGAATGAGAGGAAAGTTATCTCCCCATTGAAAACTTGATACGAATTTCCCCCTGGAGCGCGATAACGTCAGCACCTTTTCCTCACGGGCAGCGAAGTTTATCGATTATCGCAACCTTGAAATACAGAAAGGCGATAAATCCTTCGGTTCCATCGACTTTTACGGAAATCGAGATGAATGTAGATTAGCGAGCCGCGAATACACCGCCTCGAATGGCTCGAGTGGCTAATAAATAAATGTTAATCGCAATCAATGATCAATTCGTTATACGAAATCTCCTCAGATCCTCGAATTCTTCAAGTGGAATAAAAACATCCATCACAACTTTATAGATACATCCATCCAATTAAGAACTGAATAAACGTGAAGATTCTCATGTTCGAAGCTCCCCGCTTCTTGCAAAATAAAATTAAAAAAGAAGAAGCGCTCCTTCTCGAGTTTGCTGACATCAATTTTTTTTTCTCCAATTAAATCACTGTACACCGATTTCCATGATAATTGAGGTATAAATCTTCGCTCCGGAAAAAATTGATCAACTTGTCAACGACGACCGCTAAAGAGACAAGTTTTTATCCGTACGTACAAGGACACCCGAGATATTTATTTTTTGTTTTTTTTTTTCGTAAAAAAGAATCGACAGCCGACTCGTTACTAGAGTTCTCGATATTATCCACTGGCAGGGAGTACTTGCAGATTACATCGACTATTTTTGTTTCAACGAAGTGACAGGAGAAAAAATTATTTCGCTTATTCCACGCGAGGACTTACTTGGAGAGTAGTCATTTGGTCATCATTTCTTGCTTTTTACTGACAATCACTTACCATACTCGTCGTACAGAGAAATATTGTCTGTTATCCAGTACGTCGTGTTCAGCATGGACGGCCAAGACGTGTCGGGTCCACCATCTTCCGCAGACCACGTGGTGTTCATCCTGAGCTCGATGATCTGAAATAATATAAAAATTCAGGTGACCCTTTAGTTTGTCTTTATTAAAAAAAGAAATGTCTTATGAGACGATAGGGGGTAAATTCTCATGTTGCGAAAGGGACCTATTTCAAGAAGTGAAACGTCCTTGTTTTATTGCAGTTAATTATTGTTTACATTCTTCTTACTTAATATTCAGGCAACTTACGGTTCCTGAGGTAAATCTTTTCGTTAATGTTAATATGATACTCTTTCAGTTAATTATTAACATTTAAAGAGAAGTAAAATTAACAGGAATAAAAAGAAGAATAATCATACCCAGTATAACCAGCATCGAAGGCATTATTTTGTAAAAGAATAATTAAGACAAATTAATAGTATCTAATAGTTCTCTTTCTTAACTTGGAATTTCCACTTCCAACACTTGTAGCGACAAAGAACCAATTTTTTTTTTTTACAGAATTACGCAGAAATTAATCAAGAGAGAGCGAGAATGAGGAATGCACCTTCACGGTTTGCCAAATTCATTCGCAATGAACATACGCACGGGACAATAAAAAGGGCCCAAAAAAATTAAGTAAAAATATTTCGCATTTTATGATATAGTTTGAAGACCTTGTAAGCTGTCCTGGCATTTATATTGCGCTTACCCTTTCCCTGATGTCGAGGACGAAATGCATACATTCTTTTGCGGATTTTTTATAGCCCCTCGGAATTTAATCCGAGTAAGGAGCCATTAAAAAAGTGTGTATCACAGGAAACAAAGCGACCCAGGTCCCACTTTCACACGGTGCTTTGTACGCCTTCAAATTTACCTAACAATGATTAATTTCCAATCCGCGGTTTGCAATTTGCAGTAGTTACAAGTAGACTTAGTGGATGTTGCGATCGCGAAACGAGTAAACTTAAATCCTTGTCTGTCTCTCTCGACTTTGTTCAACTTGAGAGCCAAAGTCGCTGGTTGAGGATAGTTCAAAAGTTTATCAAACGTAGATATCGCGTTTATGGTCCTTGCGGCGTCTAATTGAAATTTTCTGACCTCTGGCGTTATTGATCAATTTCGTCCTTTATGCAGGATTTATCTCGCGGTTTGGAAAAGGGCCGTCGATGAATCAGATCGCGCGATGTTGATTTTATAGATCCCCCCTCTTTTACTTTATTTACGCCTCATGGTGTTCTCCCTGAAGGCACTCATTAAACATGCACTCGGCCTCTCGGGCGAAAAATCGTTTTCCTTCCCACTTCATGTTCACGTTCAATTAACCCCTTGTCATACTTTGACGAGTCTAACTCGTGATAACAATTCTGGGCCAAACGCGAACATCACGAGTCAGACTGGTGATCTCAATTTCGGATGAAACCAATATTCGGTTTTGCGAGCATCCTTCCTCACAATTCTGGCTCGTTTTCTGATAATTCTCGCGGATCACTTTGGCCTGGATATTGCCGAGTTCATTTTTAAAAAAATTAGCAAAGGGTTAATCCACATCTATTGACTGGACATGACTTCTGTTTGGCAATCTGGAAGAGCCGCACGTGTCTTCCCTTTTCATTAAATTCTGAGATCTTCCTCAGGTCTGGAAATCCGTATTCAGCTCCAAAGCCTTCTTTAGATATTCGAACGCGCCTTAAAATCCGTGATCTTCCTTAGGTCTTCAGATCCGTGTCATAGAATTCGTGTCGTCAGATCTCCGAACGAGCCTTGAACTCCGTGAACTTTCTTAGGTCTTCAGATCCGAGTCACATTGTTCCAATGTACAGGGGGTCTATTACGTAAAGCAAATTGAGCGAAAAGGTGAAAAATGAGTACCCCACGGTATTACGGAACGTCTTTCGTGGTGAAAGTGCGAGATTATTCACATGAACTGACTCGGCACAAATTTTTAAGCGAAATGGGGGAGCATACAAGAAAAGATATAAAAAGCACCGTGAACGCCATCTTCCGCGGATTATGAAACCGAAATTCAAAAGAGAAAACCTGGGTGTCTTGACTTTTGGCAACAATCGTATTCAGGGACGTAATAATAACCTTATTAGAAGAAGAAGGGAATTACGTGATGCCTCAGACCGATTCTCATTATAAGAAAGAGAATGTACTAGGAAGTACAGGTTAGTTTTTGCGTTATTGCGAGGTTATATTACATTATTAAACATTGATAACCGTTAAATAATTCATGCTTACATGACATGATAAGAAAATTATATTGTTCAACTTCTACTTATAGTACATTTAAATATGAATGTAATACATATTTAAAAAATATTGATAGACTCGAGTCCTCTTCTTTACTTTTAACGACTTTCCACCTTCCCGCCTTTCCTGTCTATAACCTACTCCTCTCAACAATTTTCGATTTACAAGGTACGCAAATTTATTTGGGCAATATTACTAGACCGGAAGTGTTAGTGATCTCGTTCTTTCATATAGCGAAAACGTAATTTGGAGAATAAACCCACGTCAGATGAAAGTACGAGAAGTGAGCGCTCTCGTCAAAAATACGTAATAACCGCCCAGATCACCGATACCTCAGAAATGACATCAACTCTAACTGCACCGACCCAAACCTAGACTAAATCTAAATATTTTGACTTTGAACCAGAACAAAAATGAATTAAACTTCACTAATCGTTGAACTAATTTCTGTATTTAAATGCGCGCAGGAATAACCTTGGATGACGCGGAAGAAAATTCAGTCTACAAGGCCGAAAATGATAAGGAACTCATGCGAGTGCAACGTCGTTGTCCTTGACCATGACTGCTCCACGGGATGGTAACCTGGAATTATTACCCCACGGCTCATTACCCACCCAGCAGATAATGCCTCGTTATTAGTGCACAAATTCAGTGTTCTAGAAACTCAATATTGCACTCTAACACCTCGATCTAATCCGACGGAGTGCTTTCCAATTGAAACACGACAAGTGTTCTTCTATTCAATTCAAATTTCCTTTTCGTGGAAATGTTTAATGACGGGCTACGTGCTCATGAATTTCTGAAACCGGAAAATTCCCGTGGATCATCTCGGTGAACGCGTTCGGCAGCTAAACGTGCCAATAGGTTATCGGCCTTCGGCGATCGAAGGTATTTCCAATTCAGGGTGAAACAACCTCACCTTCCAACTCCCACTATGAAATTTCAATACGCGATATGCTCGAAATAACGCATTAAACGCAATAACGCAAAATTCCGGATCACCTTCCAGTTCTACCCACGTGGCGTTTGAATTTCTCCGGATGCGTAATCCAGATTCATGCGAGAATGTATTATAACGCTAGTAAAAGTCCTGAATTTGTATAGGATTATTAAAACAAATATGGTGGTCCGCGTATTAGGAGAATAATATATTAATTCGGGTAAATAAAATTTCGGTTCTCCGGATGCGTAATCCAGATTCACGTGAGAATGTATTATATCGTTAATAAAAGTCCTGAATTTATATAGGATTGTTGAAACAAATATGGTGGTCCGCGTATTAGGAGAATAATATATTAAATCGGGTAAATAAAAATTCGGTTCTCCGGATGCGTAATCCAGATTCACGTGAGAATGTATTATATCGTTAATAAAAGTCCTGAATTTATATAGGATTGTTAAAAGAAATAAGGTGGTCCGCATATTAGGAGAATAATATATTAATTCGAGTATAGCGTCTATGGATACCAAGGTGGAGATAAATGGAATCGTGATCGCATAATAATTACCGCGGAATGTTCTCTATGTCAATTCCACGGTAGAGCAATTGGCATCGTCGATACATTATTTAAGAAATACAGTAATCCTCGTATTAAAACATTGTTCGAAGCACACGGCACGTAACAGTGCGATAAAAAAGTCTAAGAATGCCGAGGTGACAACTGGATAACAATTAACGCGGAATGTTCGCGAGCTTATTGATACATTATTTAAACAAAATTACAGTAATCCACGTGTTAAAAAACAAATCATTAAAAGCAAACGGGATGTACTGGTGCGATAGAAATGTGCAATCATGCCGAGGTGTAGCAACTAGGAAACAACAATTACCATGGAATGTTCGCGCTTCAAGTTCGATAATAGAACCATTCGGCATCATCGACACATTGTTAAAAAAAATATAACAATCCACGTATTGAAAAGTCGTTGAAAGTAAACGATACGTATTAATATAATGAAAGAGTTTGAGGATGTCGAGGTGACGACCGGATAATGACGATTACTGTAGAATGTTCTTGATCCGAGTTCTACGGGGAAACCATCGGATTCGTTCGTTGGTAAACCACGATGGGGGGAGATAAGCTCGTTTATCGCCGCTTTGAATTTCATTTGTCAGATGGATTTACTCAAGTGCGCGTTTTATTTATTTTTTTCGTTTCACGGTCTTGCCCTATAGCGATCGACGCAATTTTGCCGCGCTATTAACAAGCACGCCAAGCGTGGCGTGTAGTTGGCTATCTCATAAATGACACGCTGATTATCGACGACCACACATGTCGGCAGCCATGAATGTTAGCTATCGCTTCCTAATCCTGAAAAAAGGAAAATGTATATCTAGGAAAAGAAAAAAAAAGAAATGATACAAATGGAAAACATGAAGAAGGAAAATGTTTCAGTATTTCCCTGTTTTGGCCTCGAGGTGGTGATAAATAAAGGAAGGTTGGAGAATTCTAGGGAAAAATAGAGAGAAATCGAGGACATTGAAACGGTCCTAGTATTTCAGGATCAAGTTAAAGCCCGAACTGATCGATTTCGATCTATCGCTGCCGCTGTGATTGTTGGTTATTGCTTCGTTTCGGGCTCGCATCCGGTTCTTTGTGTGTTCAAAAAAAGGAAAGAATAGAACGAAAATGGGGAATGTAAAAAAAGAAGAAGGTTGCAAATGTTCTCCCGTTTCGGCCTCGCTGTAGCAATCCGCGTACCAAAAGAGCGTTTGGGGAATCCCAGGGGAACTCTAGGGGGAAATAAAGGGAGGTCGACATTCTTCTCGTAGTGGTTTCGTTTAATCAGAAATACGGTAGAATGCGATCTGACTGTTGCGAGTTTT